AGAGTTTTGTCAGAAATAAATGCATGTAGTCAAGATATATTTCTTTTGCAATACCTGAGAGAACCTTAATGTGATTCATGATTCTGTGCTGGTTATTTTTATTATTTTATTTTTACATTTTCTTTGTCAATTTTTCTTCTTGTTCTATTAAATACTGTATAGGCTTGAAGTTGGTCACCTGCTTTATCCAGGATCTTCCCTTCAAGCCCAGTCTTTGCTAAATATTAAGATTCTGGTACCACTTTACAATAAGACTCCCCTTTTAGATGGATAGTTTATAGACAAGTTATTAGTTCCTTGATAAACACTTTATAAATCATTAATAACTGTTTATTATGCATTAATTAAGGGAGACAGAGAGACAAAACTGACCAGTTTCTTGCCACATAGTGAGCCAAATCTGCCACCTATATATTTCAGACTAAGTTACTACCTTGTAAGTACAATAAGCATTTCTAAACCTATTTTTTTAGGATATAATATTTGTTGTAGATACTTATAATACAGTGATAAAGTACAATATTGTATGCTAAAGACATATATTTATAAATGGTTATTGTGCTTACAAGGTAGTAACTTAGTCTGAAATGTTTAATATAACAACTATGAAATATATAGATTAACAGATCTGGCTCACTATGTGGCAAGAAACTGGTCAGTTTTGTCTCTCCGTCACCCTTAATTAATGCATAATAAGCAGTTATTAATGATTTATTGTGTTTATAGAGGAATTAACATGTCTATAAAATAGTTATTAGCCATCCATAAGGGGAGCCTTATTGTGAAGTGGTACTAGAATCTTTTGTTACATTTAGTGCCCCAAGTACTTCTGATGTCTTTTGTATGTTTTTTTAATTTAATTATCTCATTTATCTTTACTGCCTTTTTCATCTTACTGTCAAGTTCTTTGACATTATAGAACATTTTAAAGAAACGTTAATTTTTTTTTGACCACCTTACAACATTTGGGATCATGTTTTTTGACAAAAGTGTTTTAAATTTCCTCACACTTTTGGCTATGTTTTATAGGATTTTTAAAAATAAGTGAAAAGTTGCATTTAGTTCAGAGAAAGAAAAAAAATTCCGATCATTTAAAAATGAACAATTTATCATTTGTGACAAATTTAAAATGACCAAAACGGCAAATATCCATATAATTTGAGGCATTTGGTTAAAAATATTGTGAATTTAAATTGTCATTTATTTGTATATGTACCTATAACTCATTTTTGCAGGACTTTTAAATCATATAGATGAAAAACTGGTTTTTTTCCCCACTCTTGTTGATTAGCATTTTTAGCATTCTTCAGAAATGGGAAGGATTTAAAATCCCCAATGTCTAAAAATAGATTACAGATGGAATTAGTTCTTGTAATATTTGTCTGTATTCTACTCATTTATGTGCAAACCAGAGACGAAGAGTATACAAGATTACTTTTCTAATTTCTCTTGCCAAAAAACATCAGATTCTGTGGGTACCTCTACTAATACTACTTAAACCTACTAAAATATATTTATAGCTTCCTTTAGCATGCAGTGGGAGAACTTCTAAGAGAACCTCGGCCTAGCTTTCGTTCAGCTTCCTTACCTTCAGCCACCTTGGCTGCGTTCCACCTTGGGGCCCCGGCCCCCGCTCCTTTAGTGCAGTTAGACAGGTGCAGCTGGTTGCAGACACGTAGGATCCCTCCACACCAGCTACTGAGCTCGTCCTCTCTGTTTACACTCTCGCCCTAACGATTAGATTCATGTGGCACTTCTTGAAATCTGGGTGTCGTTCTCAGCCAGATAAAATTCGCAGGACGTAGCGTGGCTCCACGGTTTGTGGCCTGATTAAGTTACAGTGTGAGAGACTTGAATCTTTTTTTTTTTTTTTTCCAGCGGAGGTTGGAGAACCAGTTTGGGTCAAAATCTTAAATGAACTTCATCTTTTGAATTCTCACATTTAGAATTAATTTTGTTTTTATTATTTTCACATAAAGAATGAGTTATGATGGAGCTTTAGGGCAACGCTAACGTTCCGTCGTACTATTTCATTCTTTGCACCACTATTAAACAGCTCAGACAGTTTGTGGTTAAAGACCGCCCCATTAAACTAACTTAATGAACAAATGATCCATTTTCTCCATGTTCAATAAATTAACTCAATTATTAAGGAGCATCACAAAATATTACATTACAATATTACAGTAGCAATAATGTTATTCTCTGCTCTTAATGACCATCAGTGACTACCACCAGACAAAATGTAACGATCTGTTGTGAGCATTTAAAAAAAAGCTCATAAAACAAGCCTGCTTTCATTCGTTCCCTTCTTTGAGTGTGTAGTGGCGCAGGAGGAACATGAATTAAACTGGTGACAAGCAGAGGCTGCACATCTCTCCAAAGTCTACTTTTAGAAAGTGCAAGTCAAGGTTTTAGGTTTCAATGTCTGCTCATGAACAAATGGGTTTTCCAGTTTGCCAACAAGGTGCACAATCTAATCTAAAAGATTGTTCGCCTTAGAGTTGTAAAAAGCCATGGATTTGTCTCAGTTATCCCAATTTATTGAACTTTGAACTGAACAAAGTCCACCCATTGTCTTTGAATGAATACAAAATCAGATTATAATGAGCTGAAAATGACACGTCGCGTAGCTTTTGAACAAACCAACTGTGCATCGCTTTCAAACCTTCCGAGTACGCTTTTAAAACGACATCAATCAGAAAGCTGAGGTGACATCAGCAAATTGTGTGTGTACGGAAAAGGACAGAAATAGAGGAGTGGTTGCTGCACAGAAGCTTGAAGGGAACGTTTTACAAGTAATAACTTCCTTTTGCTCTCTTTAGAAATGCGGCACCTTGCGAAACCTCTTAAATGTCTTCCATTTCAACAGAACCACTGAACACACCCGGATTAGTTTAAGCGAAGGAATGTATTAATACCCTCAGAGACGGAAGTAGCCCCTCGGTGCTTTCCACATGAGCCTGACCACCTGTCCATACGACAGGCTAATACCATCAGAGGCTTTACCATGATTAAAAACAAACACCGAGCTCAGGAAGGATAGATCTCATTTTCACGAGGCTGGTTTTAAAAAGATTTAGAATTGGACAGAAACAAGAAAAGCTGATCAACATAAGGGCGTATGTTCAAGAGCAACACTTTTGACACAAATGAGGGAATATTTCACCATTAAATTATAACAAACCATGTCTATGGTGGAAATAGCATGATCTTTAGCCTTTTATTAATCCAAGTTTCATATTTGATTCTAGTAGGATTCAAATTCCCCCCCTGCAGATTAATAAAGTATCTACCTACCAATCGGTATTTACCGGTGTCCATCTTGTCTACCTACGTATCGGTATCCGTCTACTTGCCTACCTACCAATCGGTATCTACCGGTGTCCATCTATCTATGTATCGGTATCTTTCTGTCTACCTACCTATCGGTATCTGTCTACCTACCTACTGGCATCTACCGGCGTCCATCCGTCTACCTGCCTAATTATTGGTATCTACTGATGTCCGTCCGTCCGTCTGTCTACCTACCTATTGATATCCGTCTACCTACCAGTATCTACCGATGTCTGTCCGTCTACCTACCCATCGGTGTCCGTCTACCTACCCATCGGTATCCGTCTACCTACCTATCAGTATCTACCGGTGTCCGTCCGTCTATCGGTATCTACCGGTGTCTGTCTGTCTAAGTTCAAGTTAAGTTCAAGTTGTGTTTGTCATATGCAAGGTTAACACAAACTCTTAGGATGAGAAGAACTGATTTGACTCGCTAAAAAAAAAATCAAAGTACAAGAAATACTAAAGCATGCAACGAGGGTACAAAAATAAAGTACCAAAAAGTGAAAAAGTAATAATATTTATAGGTCCTAAAGAGAGTAAACAACAACATAGTAGAATAATAATAATAATGTCTGTCTGTCTAGCTTTAAAGATGGTACGAAAAGCTGTTTTCACAAATGTTCAAAAGAAAAACTGCAAATAAAAAGGTGAGGGTAAGAAATCCAGCTGGCAGACATTCACTTTATTGTTAAAACTTGGTTTGGTATATCAGCTGCTTGTCTTTTTTTTTTTTTTTTTAACACAATGTTAAATTAAAGGCGAACATGTACAGCTTTATCTTCAAAAAGACATGCAGCAGTGTAAACATGAGCTCTACTGACCAGCAACTATACCACCACATACTGGCAAAGTCTGATAATAAAAATGTCCTGTCAAAACAAAACCAAAAAAAAAAAAATGCATTGTGTGTACATTAATCTTGTTCAACCAGAAAAGCTTCAACTTAGTACTCGTTTACCACATTCAGCAGGTAAGTATGCATATGTGTTAGATTAAAATTCAAAAATAAACTAAATGTAGTGACAACATATACATAAAAATGTAATTCCTGTTCAGGACAAACCAAACTATAACTGCCTTTTGAGCTTCTTCGAGAAAAAAAAAAAAAAGAAAAAAAAATCTACAGCTTTAAAAACAAAGAAGCCACCAAATAATTCTGCACCACCACTACCCTGAAACCAGCAAACTGACAGAGTACAGTTTACAGTTGATCTTGAAGTACCCTCACAGTTTGAGAACTGAACTTTCAGACCATTTATGGAGAACAAAATACAGCACAGGTATTGATAAATTAGCAATTCTGTGATCAGAAATAAAAACTGGCCACACTGTCAAACTTACATCCTACAGTCATGTTTGACTTTCATAGACACGTCCAAGTTGTACTTTCTAACCAGTTATGTTATGACACATGGCAGAGACCCAGAAGTTGAAGACACAATGGACAGGCACCCCCTAGTGGCTGGGTGCAGTACTCCCTTCTCCACCATATAAACGTGTGGGACATTTGCTTGGCGAAAAAACAAAATACACTTCAAAACATTTTTTCAGGAGTTAATTTTAGTTGACTTAAGTAGGTCTTAACTCGTTAAACATATTTTTAAACGCATATTTGAAGTTTCAAATTATTTGATACGAAAAACAACAAAAAAACCTCTAGCTCCATGACGGCTCCGAAAAAACAACAACAAAAAAACCCCGTTTGGCTTCAGTTTTGAACAACTAAAGTTAATGAAGTTGCTTCGTCCGTCTTTACTTGTGTTCATGTAACCACCTCAGTGTGCGTCGTAGACCGCTGCACTGCATTTCAGCTTCTACTCTAGCATGTCAGAATAAGCACTAAGCTGCACAATATATCAAACATTATTGTCACTGCAATATCAGAAGGAGCCCTACTGACCTACGTGATTTATTTGGATGATGGTGCCCAAATGGAGCATTTTGATGGAGAGAGGGGTAACGAACATGTGGATTCATCAGAACTGATTGCTATTAGAATATTCAATTTCATCACAATTGCAAGTTCTCCTATTATTGTGTAAAATAAGAACTAATATTTCAGTGCTCTTGCCAGCACTTTTGATAACAGGCTAAGTGAACAAAACCTGAGTATGAAAACGACACACACACACACACACAAGCATCATCTGCCCTCATGACAACTCATAAAATCATAGCAGCTCAAACCGAACACCCTTCTTGTACAACGGAGCCAGAAAGGCAATGGAGATTAACCGTGGCACCAGCTGCCTGTCTTGTGTGTGGCGTTCAGGATCACTGATACAGGGTCATATTTCAGATCAAAGCTAAATTTTCATCATTTCTGTTATTACAGATGCATGAACACCATGCAACTTATAACTCAATATTTACCTTCAAGTTTGCCGTTTTAGTAAGTTGCACGTATTTCAAGAGCTGCAACTACAGAAGCTGTAGGAAACTTCGATCAAGAATACACAGAATAATGATGGAAACTAATGAACATATTGCACCATCTTAAAATTTAAAACACAACTAAATATCAGATGATGCTACCGAACAAACCTTTACATCCTTCAGTGAGTGAATACAAATTGATTCAAGACTTCCTCAACCCTTTCCTCCCCTTTTTTACATTAGCAGGTCACCAAGGCACCAGTAAGTACAGTTTTGTAAATAAATACTTTGATCTGTGCACCACCTGTGCCAAAGGCTTACCTCTCCTATTCATACAGTGCACACTACAGCTTCACAAACATGTTGACAGTGATGTTTCTCCCAAATTTCCTTATTCATAGAATGTTAATCAACTTAAAATTAATCCCATATCCATTAGGTGATTCTGTACAGCTTTCAGGAAGAAAACAAATGTTTTGCTAAAACAATAATTTGTGTCTTTGTTTCCCTAATAATGATCACTTGGTGTCATTGTTTTTCTTTTCGATCTGGAAGAGATTCAGGATGTCCAGCATGGCTTGTCTGATGTTGTCTCCGAAGCGACGAGAGTCCTAAAATAAAGAAAAAACAAAGTACTTTTAGAGAGGCGAAATGAGCCAAAAGAAAAGTCTGCATAAGAGGACAACTTACGGTTTCGGGACTTGAATATTTGCTCGAGATATGGAAGTTGATGAGGTCATCGCCGAGAATAATGTAGGAGACGCCGTAACCATCGTCAGCCACCTCGTGGACGAAAAGTTTTAAACCTTCAGTCTATGACCGCACAGATTTTAAAAATGACTATCCAGACTAATTAATATACTCACTGGACCAAATCCGCCTCCGGAGGACACCAGCTCTGGGTGTCTGAGCAGATCAAACAGCTCAACCTGCTGCAGAGGAGTTTGGCTGGTGGACAGCCTCCACGGCTCAGACAGAACCTGAACATGAAATTAGCATTTATTTCACAGATCAAATGAAGCACAAGCTGAAAAAAAAAAGTCAAAGTTGATCACCCCCACCACCAACAACTATAAGTATTAATAATTTGATGGATTCTGACATGATAATAATCTCCTTAATGGCACCGACATGGAAAATGATGACAAGCTTCAAGAACATCATTTCCAAAAATAGCTTTCAACTGTGTCTCATACCTCCTTGAGGAATGGAGAGTCTTCTCCCAGGTATTTGGAAACCACGTAGAGACAGAAAAGGTGGCGATCGATGCCCTCTCCTGTCATTGCCAGGCGGTACATGTTTTGGTGTTTCTCTGCTGCCATTTTGAGCAACCTGAGGCACTCTTCTCTCTGCAAATAAACACAAATAGCACAATTTGCACGCTTAAACAGTCGTTACCACTGTTTTCAGAGTAGATGGGCCGTTGTTGAAACCTACAGTCTCATCTCTGAGCATGGCACGAACAAAGTCACAAGTCTCCATGGTGCAGGATCGCACGGTTTCTGTTCGACCCTCACGGAACAAGCGGGTCATGGAGGCTTCGTATGTAAGACAGAATTTCCCTTTGTCCTGCAGAGAATAAAATCCAGCACAAGTCTTAAAATGTGATAACGCCAACACTTCCATTATTTGACAGACTATCAGTTACAAATGATGCCTTTGTGACACTCTGAGCTTCCAACTTGTATTGCCTAAACTCTGGAACTAACAAGACAACATTGCTCAACTGCAACAGATTATTTTATTATCAAGGATCAACCACAATTCATCTAAAATTCTGACTTTACTGAGCTGTGCATTAACAGATAAACTGTAACAATAATAAGCAAACAAGCCTCTAAATTCATCCTCTAAATATTTTGAATTGTTTTGACTCCTGACAGCAGTTTTTCTTTGGATGCCTGACTGTGACTGCCCCCTGGTGGCTATAAGTGGGAGTACAACTTAATGGAATTTGTATCTGTTCTGCAAAACCTAAAATATTAGTATGTACATAGTTTAAATGTCAACGAAAAGAAACAAGAACTTACTCTATAGTGGGCCAGCTGTAGGGCGATCTGGATGAAGGCATCTGGACTGGTGCGGCATTTTTTAATCAGCCCCTTTCCAAAATCCGCAAAAGGGATGATGTGACAGTCCACATCATCTGCTAGAGCCCTGGCTACTGTCAGTGAGCTCTCAATGACTTCCTGGCACTAGAAAATGACAGAGTTGTATGTTTTACTTGGCAAAGGTAGTCTGACAAAATAGTAATATACATAAAACGTATACAAAAACTTCTCATTCAAAATCTCACTTCTAACCTACAAATCCCTCAACAACCTAGCTCCATCTTTTATTACAGCTCTTATTGTCCCATATTTTTCTAACAGAACACGTCGCTCTCGGACTGCAGGCTTACTTGCGGTTCCTAGTGTTTCCAAAATGAGATTGGGATGAAGGTCTTTCAGTTATCAGGCTTCTCTCTTGTGGAACCAACTTCCAGTTTCTGTCCGTAAGACTGACACATGTCCAGTTTAAAGACTATGCTTAAAACTTTTCTTTTTGATCAATCCTATAGTTAGGGTTGGCTTGTTATGATGCCATAGGCTTAGACTAGTGGAGGACAAATTGACCTCATTTCTTGAAATGAATTGTGAAATTATTTATATCGTAACATGCGATTCTCGATCTGCCATTGTGTATCTATTCCTCTCAAATCCAGCTGGTTGAAGCAGATGACCACTTGTCCTGAGCCTGGTTCTGCTAAAGGTTTCTTCCTCATGAGGGAGTTTTCCCTTTCCATATGATGAATATAACACTTTTTAATAAGTCATACTATCTAATTAATTACAATAAAAATAAAGTTACTTAAAGATGACAGGACTGTAAAATTCTAGCACACCATATGCAGACTTACCTCAGCAGGAATGTCCCATGATAGTCTTTGAGGACCAGGCAGGTTAGGATGAGGCTTCCCATGGCAGTGACCATCCGCTTCATACCCCAGTTTAACAGGATCCATGGAAAGTACATGCTGCAGTGCAGAAAAGTTTTTAAAATGACTGACGTTTTGTTACTTTTTTAATTTATTCTGAGTTCAGATTTTTCAGCTACAATGTGCTTTTCTAATACACATGTAAGTCTTCAAGTTGAATAAGTTGTAATCCCAACTCTTAACATTCTTTGTGAAATTATTAAGACACAAACGTCAACCAAAGAACACAGGTGTTACCTCCCACAAGTGACCAACAATTGGAGCATCTGCCCAGGAGTGTTCTGCATTCAGTCCCATGGTGCCATTCTTGAAAATGATCAGGTTAAAGGTTTTATCGAACCACCTGAAAAAAACAACGAATAAAACGAGTTTATGTGACACATTTATAAAATATCTGATCACTTTCACCAAGCTGTTCTGTCCCACCTGTCGTAGCACTTTCCATGAAGAAGGGACTTGGCATAACTGTCCAGAGACTTGACTTTGTTGGCAGCATCGTAACGCTGCTCGGTTTCATCAAGGGTTACGACAAAAGCAGCCTTTTCTATGGCATCCAGAGACTGTTTGTTCCTACCACGGCTGAAGTACGTGTTGCGAGCCTTTGCCCAAGGAGTCCTACAGAAAACAGAAAATGTATTAAGAAGAAGATGGACACAAGTTTATAATCATCTAGTCAGTGAATTGAGTATGCTAGGAGGAAATACAGAATGCTTTTATTGTTCATAAGGATTTTCTTCCATACAGTTGAAAGCAAATGTGAAACATGTGAAAGAGAAACGTCTGTCTCAAAAATAAGAACATTTGGAAACACCAGGCAAAAACTGGAGCACAAGTTTGGCATGAAAAAGTGAAAAATACAAGTCTTTTGCTCACTGAGTGACAGTTATCCACACTACTAATTTTATTGTCATATTTTGATGTTTTACACATTTTGTTGTACAGTAGTCCCTCGTTACTTCGCGATTAGACTTTCGCGGACTTGCTCTTTTGCGGTTTTTCAAAGTAAGATGGAATATAATTTAATGTTATGTGAGTGAGACAATACGGGATACTGCTGCCATTTTGTAGTTTTCTCTAATTAAACCTACACTGCATCCCCGCTCATAACTACATTTCCCAGAAGCCAACAGTGCCCCACCCAGAAGCCCCATTGCCCTCTGCTGAAATGGAGGGAAAGTTTAGATCTGATTGGAAAAAGTTTGGCGTTTATTCGTACAGTGACTTCGACACCTAGCGGATGCAGAGAGCTGCACAAAACCCACTGGGAATCGGAACAGAACTGGAGCAGAACCAGACCATCAGACCCATTGGCGAATCTGAGAGCTGGTAGTCGGCCCATGAGGACTTCCGAGCAGGGATGCTCCGCTGTAGGTCTGGCTTCCCTCTTATTTTGGCTAACTTCAACATTTGTGCTTCTTCTAACTTCTTTCTGCTAATTTCAGCTCGTTATGCTCCTTTCAGCTATTTCTGCAAGTTTCAGCTGTTTCTACTATTTCAGCTACTAGATAGCTTTTTTATGCTAATTGAAGCTTTTTCAGTTATTCCACATTTTTGCACTCCAACTTTTTTCAGCCTAATTCAGCAAAAATGTGCTCTCCAGTTTCTTCTGGTAACTTCAGATTATTTCTGCCTTTTTAGCTACTTTTTAGCTGTTTTTGCCAATTTCAGCGTTTTTAAGATAATTTCCAATTTTTTGTGTTCATTTTTGCTTCTTTTAACCTGGTAAACGTGTTCTTTCTGCTTTCTTTTGCCAATTTAAGCTTGTTCGATTTTTTTCAGCTAATTTTAGCTGTTTTTAGAATAATTCCAGTTTTTTTGTGCTAATTTCTGCTACTTTCATCTTAATTAATGTCTTTCTGCTTTCAGCTTGTCATGCTCCTTTCAGCTTATTTCTGCTAGTTTCAGTTATTTCGGCCACTATTTACCGTAGCCGTTTTTATGCTAATATTACATTTTTTCAGCTAGTTCCACATTTTTTAGCTCATTTCAGCTCCTTTCACTTTCTTCTGGTAGTTTAAGCTTCTTTCTGCCTTTTCAGCTACTTTTCAGCTATTTATTATTTGAAAATTTCAGCCTATTTTTTTTTTTTACATTTTTTTTAGCCAATTTCAGCTTTGTGTGCTTATTCCTGCTTATTTAAGCCTAGTTCAGCAAATTTGTGTTCTTTCTACTTTCTTCTGCTAACTTAGGCATGTTCTTTCATTTCAGCTACATTTCAGCATATTTTTAGCTAATCTCAGCAAGTTCTTCTGCAATACGCATTCACACTGCATTTTTGCAGGAAATGCAATTTCTCTATTTTACTATTGTGTCCATTTGGTCCAACTCTGAACACTCCTGACTGAAAAACAGAAACATTGCTCACAGTTGGCGTTTCTTTGCCCTGCTGCAGTGCTCAGTGTGGCCTCCCCTTTACGTATGCGTGTCCACCCACCTGTCTCCTGCAGTAAGTGCTGCTAGTTTCTCCTCTCCTGGGGATGGCTCAGACTGATCTGCCAAGATTCTCTCCATCTGCTGCTCTATCTCTCGTGGCAACAGCAACCGTCCATCATAAAACATCCACACCTTGAAGAAACGGCCCTTATGGTACACGACGATATGTTTGCTCTCGTTCACGTGCTGAATTGTATCTAAATGAGAAAAAAACGAAGGTAGAGGAGAAAAAGTAGACGTACAAATACAGTTGGCAGCCAGTTGGAGAAGCGAATAATGCGTTTATATTTTGTTAATGTATATTTAGGAGTATTTTTCTTTTTATTCTACAAAACTTCTTTCACATCAAATATAATTTGATTTACCTATTTCAATGTCATTTTTACAAATGTGAAATTGTTATTTCTAGTCATCATATTTTAACTCTCAAGGCGGATGTCACATTATTTTATTTCAGAGAAGACTCGAAGTGTTAATAACCAGTTCATGTCCCCTCTACCAAAATGATGTGACATCGCCATCGTTACAACAGGTGTGCGTGTGTGGTGTGAGTGGACAGGTAGGGGTGACCTAGATCCAAAACTAAAGGAGCTTGAAATGGAACAAGCAGGAAGTTAGACGAAAAAGAAAACAATTTGAGGAACGGGGGTGGAGTGAATGGGAACACAATGAACTAAAAACAATGTTTGTTTGAGCAGCTCATAAAAAGAAGCCAATTCAGAAGCAACAAATGTGAAACAATTTGTTTTAGTACTTATGAAGTTCTGGTGACAGTGTTCAAACAAGCATTGGTCTAGTTAAAATAAAAAGTAAGATGATTTTTAAACCCAGGAGGAACCCATAGGAACAATAAGCTCACATCCACATATGCCTACTGTGCTTTCTTGCAGTAAGGACACTTCTGACTCAAAACAGGCTCAGTAATTAGTGGAAAGAAATTTAGAATTAGATGCATTTATCCCTAAAGTCAAAAATTTAAATTAAATGCAATTTAAAAATGACAATAAACATATTAGATACTATTTTGTACACAAGTATTTTTATACATAAGCCAATCATACTTAATTATTTTTTTTACCTGTGACTAAAAATCACAGACTTCAAAATCTGCTATTTATTCTAAGATCCAGGTCTTGGGTTGGGAACAGGGATTTGATTCAATAGAGGCCTCTCAACACACTATTTGTGCCTAAAATATGCTCATTTGTGGCAACCTTTTTTTATTAGAAGAAAATTTTACTTTTCCTAACTTGAAATTTTTATATAAAATTTGCAGCATTAACAAAAAGTAATTTTTCAAGCACAATAAAAAGTTGGGAAAAATAAATCATATTTATTGTTATCTTGATATGTATATTGTGTGTTTTCTTGTTAACACAACAGTTTGATATTTTGTCCTCAAAATAATAACAGAATTTATATATATATATATATATATATATATATATATCTACACACACACTAGATTTTAGTTTCATGCAAAGTAATACTAGAATGTGCACCGTTATGCACACATGCATTAGAACTCATGGAGGTCTAGTTGTTTCTCATCAATGCAGACATGTCACATGTCCTGAGGAGTACAGTAGGAGTAGTGTGGAGGAGGCGGCACAGCTAAAGACTCTACCTGTCTCTACACCTGGGACACGAGTTGTGTTGAACATACGCTCGTATTGGGCTGAGCACATGGGAATAGTGTGTAGGAGCATGAGCTGAAAAGCAAAAGGGGAGAGTCAAACACACAGATGACAAATTCACTAAAATCCCCAGAGAGCAGCAACAGACACACAACTATATGGAGCAGAGCATGGATGAAGCGAAGTAGGGGCTGATGAAAGTTGGTTTAATGAGCAGGAGGAGGGGCAGGGTCTCAGAAATCTGCGAGGGAAAGAGGAACGAGCGGGGTCCAGAAACCAGTAAGCTGCCAACTCAATACCACTAGCAAAGCCCTGATGCAACAACTCATTTTTGTTTATATTGTAGACATTTTCCAGCACATTTAAACCTGAGGCCGAATTTCAGAGCTGCGCTGATGGGATTGAGTACAGGAGTCACAGTTTCAAAGGGCGCGTGGCACGGCTGATACGCCCTCCTCTTACCTGTCTCCACACCAGGGATGCGGGAAGTGTTAAACATTCGCTCCCACTGAGCAGAACACAGAGGTACCTTGTTCGCCAGCAAGTATATCTAACGCAGCGTCCATCACAGCGAAAGGAGTAAAACACAGACAATCGAATGTGAGCATGTAACAGAGCAAGCTCGTGCATTTTGGAGTTTATACAGATGCATACAACTGGTCTCAGCAAGAATTAGGTCTGCGTTTCAAAAACAACATTAACTGCAACTATTTAGCATCATGCAGGTGGACAAAAAGACTGACAAAGGTGCAGGAAAAGATGACAACACAAGGGACTAAGTAAACCTTTAGAAAACATTTACAGTATTGTTTTACTAGTAATCACAATTTAATATTAGAACAAGCAAAAAAGCATTTCAAAGCCCGAGTTAGACATTAAGCTGAGATGGCATGTATTTACAGAATCATTAGTGAGATTGTAGATTTCAAACTTACTTCAAAGTACACAAGATTACGAAAAATAAGGAGCTCTTACTGGGAACGTAAAAAAGCAAACGCGCTGAGATAGCAGCCATTACTGAACAAATACTAATGAAGAAAAGTTGAACATTTACGCAGAACTGATGTGATTATGGAACTTATCTCCATGCTTGAGCAGTGTGTGGAGATAAAACAAGGATCAACAAATGACAGGAGTGAAAATGCAGACCAAGGAGATCAATACTCACTGGTTTGATCTGAGCTCGGTCCAGTTTTCTCCTGTACAGCATGATGGCGTGAGTGGCATTACCTGCTCGGGCAGCCTGGATGGATGTGGGGAACACGTACAAAAAGTCCTGTGGAGAAGATTCATGGATTATACCCAGATTTACTCACCATTTAAATTCCTCACAGCTGTAAGAGGCACATGTGGGGCGATCTATGACATCAGTGATTCGAACTGTAGAGGTTCTGCAGTCTTAGGTCATTAGGTGACAGTTTAATTCATTACTTGAAGGTTAAGTCATTACTGGACAGAACTTTTTAGTCCATTAGGAATTACAATTTAAATAAAATAGTCAACTCTTTTGTATTTTTTAAAGAGGCATATTCAGTGTTTTCCATGAATTGTTGGGACTTATGAAAGATCTCCAGTTAGCAAACACTCGTGTTACTTTTATTATCAAAAATAAGCAATTAATTTACTTTAGAGCTGTGTGCAGAACTTTGATTCAGTCCTCCACCCTACTTCCTTTCAGGCATCCCCCCCACCCCCACCCACACACACACACACACGTTACACAATCTCCAATCACCAGCGTACACACTCCTGATCAGGACGGTCCAATCCTGTTCCTCGACGGTCACTATCCTGCATGTTTTACAGATTCCCTGTTCCAGCGTGTCCTGGGTGTTCCTCGGGGTCTCCTCCCAGTTGGACATGCCCCCAGGGAGCATCCTTACCAGATGCTCGAATCACCTCAACTGGCTCCTCTCAATGTGGAGGAGCAGCGGTTCTACTCAGAGTCTCTCCCAGATAAACGAACTGAAGGGAGAGTCCAGCTACTCTGCGGAGGAAACTAATTTCAACCGCCTGTATCTGCAATCTCATTCTTTCGGTCACTACCCAGAGATCATGACCATAGGTGAGAGTAGGAACGTAGACTGACTGGTAAACGGAGAGCTTTGCCTTACAGCTCAGCTCTCTCTTCACCACAACGGACTGGTACAGTCTACAATACTGCGGATGCGGCACCAATCCATTTACAAGGCAACATTCTGCAGCTAAAATCTGTATCCCAACATTCACACAAGGAAGCACCGATAAAGGGCTCGACTACATTGCACAAAGTATTGCCATTTGTTAAAAACTATTTGGCTTAGTCAATTTTTTCCCCTACATTTTCAGAAACCTGCTCACAACTTAAGTAGGGAGGTTTTTCATGTCGTTGTTGAACAAAGAACAGGAACAAGTCATGTAAATCAGTAATCAGATCAGTCAAGAGATGACTCACCATGGCATAATAGTTGCTATTGACCATGATGGGTCCACGGCCTCTCAGGTAAATATACTCCTCCCACCAGTCACTAACCTGCAACAGAAAAGAGCAAAAGGAACAGAAAGAAATGTTATAAAAAAATCTCCTTTTCAGTTGGAGCTTTATTCATTAGCCAGAACAGTATCTGAAGCCGTAACAGGGTGGAAAATAAAGTTTCCTTCCTACTTACATAGTTGGATGCCCACCAGGACTTGAGTTTGAGGTACCACTGCAGCCTGGGTCCCAGGTTCTTCTCAAAGTCTTTAGATAAAGCCGTCATCCTTTCAAACTTCTCATCGTCCATTAGTGGGCGCACTGACTCCAGGTACTGTAAACACAGAATCAGTGAGCCGAGTACAGGAAAAGTATCTTTTAATGACTTTAATGCAAGTTTGTGTTGGAGTAATTTCAATGTGCTTTCATCGTCATGTCTGCTCTAATTTTTACAGCCTCAGTCAAACGCTAGGCTTATTAGGAGTAATTATAAATGACTCAGAGAACCAATACGGTCAAGGAAGTGAGAAAGTGAGATTACCCTTCTGCAGGTGTCCTTGACGGAAGGAACAGGTAGTCGAGGCAGGGAGTTCTGGAAACTGTAGAGCATTGGCTTCCTGCCAGAGAAGATCTTCACCATTAACTGGAAATGCAGCAAAGAGAAGAGTTATACTTTTGTTTTAAACATAACCTGCACCACATGGTGTGAAGTGCAAACATTAAAAAAGTGGGTTAACCTAAAATAAAGCTTGCAAATGAAGCTGCAAAAACCTAATTGCATCTTAAATTTGGATCAAACGTATGATTTTTATTTTTACAGCAATACTGAGCAGGTTTTAAACAAACAGTTTGGGTGTTTTGATGATCTTTTAAAAGGTTATGGACAATTAATAACTTATCTGTACATACAGAAGCACTATGAATGGCTTCAGTTTGGAAAAACTCATTTATTACTTCTGATCAGACTCATGACCCAAGGGCTAGCTAAAGAGGAGCCAAGGCCATCGTGGATTAATGCCATCTTACAACACAACTAAGAAGCTAATCATAAGCACAAATTCATAAAATTACATTTTATCAGTTTTAAAAAAGTGTAAAACTTAAATGTTTCAAACACTTTTTCACCCTGTTTCAAAAAGATTTCAGCAACTGTTCAGAGATGTGCATTCCATCACTTAAACTACATTACACACATGTAGCAAAACTATCATGTGAAGAAATTTACATCTGTAAACATCTGCTCATTGTTTGCTTCATAGGGAGTTGAACGGAGAAACGTTTAGCTCGGTCTCACCAGCCACAGACGTGTGGAGATGGGCAGAGAGCCGTGACGTGACTGCATCCAGCCGTGCCATGACAGCAGGCTCTTTAGGACATTCCTCATAATCATTATTATGCTGACCCAGAGGCCCGTGCCCACCAGAACACCTCCAACTATCTTCTGGTTATCTGTAGACATGTATCGGCTGTGGACAGAGGTAAAAAAAACATATCAGCACTAAATTAATAATAGTAGAGACTAAGTGAAGTCTATATTATTAGAACTTATAACTATGGGTAAATTAAAGGAAGATATAATGATGATGTTTAAAGTTAGGAAAGACTTGACTTGTTGAAAAGTCCAGTCTGAATGTGCGCTACATCACAAAGGAAATATTGGATGATTAAAACTACAATGCAGCTGCCCGACTATGTCCAAAGTCAACAAAGACAGTTTACATGATGACTCATAACCGCTGCACTATTTAACGCATGCACGTGCCGACACACAACACAAGTGATTATAGACTACTTTCTGTGCAGCCGTGGGTATGAATGAAACAGTATTATTAATTTTACCCCCAAAAAAGTTCAAAGTTAATCAAACAACAAAAAAGATTAAAGATTTCTGACATTGCTCAGAGTAATTCGGTCATAAACATAATAAAAACAGCAGGAAATTCCCAATTAGTGTTGATAAGGTGGTGTAAAAACTTTATGCGAGTACAAAGTGTTCACTCGACATCACTAAACATGAATAACCTTGTTGGCAAACATTAAAATAAGGTGTGGTGGCAAAAAACAAGTGTAATAGACAGAATGCTACTCTACTGCCAAGATGTACCGTAATTTCTGGACTATTGAGCACTAGAGCTGTCATTTCTAACCCGAACCCGAAACCCGGCCCGGACTGACCTGGATTAGAGCCAGGCCGTTATAATGTGATTAATGGGTGAGCTGGGCCAGTCTCGGGCTTTTAATTAGGTCAGGATCAGCCGCGATCCAAATATATGATAACATGGCCTGCCATACATCCACCAGCCGCATTTCACCGCGAGCTGACCGGCCTTGAAAGAGGTAAAAAGGTTCAGTTAAGCTTCAGATGGGACTGTACTGCCAGGCAGCGATCCATCGCCCAAATGGACGTTCATTCTGCTGCTGCACTCAGCGGACACGTGCGGCCGACGACCCAAACAGGTGAGATCCCAAAGCAGACGTGTATCGGAGTGTGTGTCTGCGTGTCTCTGTAATTCAGACGAATGCAGGCAGAAACAGGGTTTAAACGCTTTTTTACGGCTATGAAAGTACAAACACCTCTCAGCTCTGAATCTTCTGCCACTTTTATTCAGCTGCACGTCCCCGACCGTTAATAACTAATTAAAAATGTACCCCATTTCATTGGTCCACTGTGATCTATTTGGTAATTTCATTGGTGAATTTTATTTTTAATCTTTATTTATACAGGTAGTATTGGGCAGCTACTGTATGTGAGCGTACGGGTGTGACGAGGCTAAATACTTTGGCAGCATGAATCTCGTTAGCCCGACAAAAAAAAATAAATCCATAAATTAGCCGCAGCATTGTATAAGCCACGGTGTCACGGTGTGTGAAAAAAGTAGTGGCTTATACTCTGGAAATCTTTCTTTAATAGTAAATAATAATATCTGCCCGGCTACTTACGAATCAACTTTCTACAACAGAAACAAACCTTTGGTTTACACCTGGTTTGATTAAAAGCAACATGTTAAGTAAAAGTACCGGTAATAAAAATTATTTAAACTTGGACCTAAATAATAAGGAAGCATCAAATGACCAAATAATGCTAAGGCAGACCTATAAAGCAACTTGTAAAACAGTAAAAAGACAGATTTAATTTTATTTAATTAAGATTTTCTTTGTTTTTTGTAGTAGAGAACTTTCATGCAACTCTTGATTATAAAATGCTTTAACAACAAAACAGAGTGACATCAGAGGTCTCACCTGATGGGAATGTGTTGACCCAGTTTGGCAATCAGCCCCAGAGAAGGATCCAGCTGTTTATATTTATTGTACGACATGTAGGACACAACCACTATCATGAAGCCAGCAGGGCTGCCTGGGTACACACCAGTCATCACCCCATTCTGTGGAAACATTCATAAAAAGCTGACATTATCTACAATATAAAACACGATTAACGCTGGAGATGACGGATATGATCACGTGCAAAAAGAATTGCATGAATACTACTGGCAGGTCTATGGGTTTGAGCAATTTAACTTGACTGTGTAATCAATAACTAGGTCAAAAGTCAGGAGATAAAGAACACACAGGAAGGTTACCGTCACAGCTGGTGCGAGAGAGAGTGACCTTCAGCTGGTGGCATTTTAATGGAGCTCAATGGACAGGTTCACAGCAGAGCCATTACTGAACAAAACAGGTAGGGATGTCCCAATCAATTTATTTTTGTCCTCAATACTGACCCACGTCATTTAAAAAATAAGGTTTGCAGGTTACCAGATCGAATCCCAACCAGAGGCCTTTCTGGGTAGAGTTTATGTTTTCTCTGGGTACTTTGGTTTCCTCCCACAGACCAAAAACATGCACGTTAGGGTGATTGGCAATTCTAAATTGTACCTAGGTGTAAGTGAGTGAGTGAATGGTTGTCTCATTTGTCTATGTGTCCCTGTGATGGCTGGAGACCTGTCCATGGTGTCCCATGCCTCTTGCACAGGATAGCTGGATCTGGGCACCGGTGAACCCCGCGACTCGAACAGGAAGAAGTGGGTAAAGATAATGGATGAATCGGCCGATAAGGTCTTGATTTTGGACCTAGTCTCACAAATGAACATGTTTCCTTGTAACCACAGTGTTGGGAAGTGATCCTTGTACTCCTTAAGCCAGACACAATGATTAACTCCATTCATGATGGTGTCATGAATGTTATTTCAGTCTTTCAAAGTTGTAACTGCCTCCACAGCTCAGCTCTGTTTAGCCTCCGTGTCCAACTGTCCACCTCTTACAATGCTGTTATTGCTAGTATCACTCAACCCCGGTGAATAGCAAACAGCCATCAGTGTGCTATTGATCCATCGTTAGGCTGATGGTCCTCCTTGATCATGTGAGCAGCTGGTTTTGGTTGTCAGCAGCAAACTGGTTGATCCACTCTGAGAAGGTGCTATTTATAAGACTGAGCTGAATACAGCACCTCAGACTGAAGAAGTTTTTCGGATGAAAGACGAAACGTTTCTACATTTGTGTTGTTTTGTTTTTTTGAATGTCCAGAGGACCAGATTTAACTTTTTTAGATTTTTCTACCTGGATTGTTGAGCATGCATCAGGATAGTAGTCTACTTTGCAGTTCAACTTTCGCGGACTCGATCTTTAGTGGTTTTTCAACGATTGTCAACTTAATATTAACTCACGTGATCGGGAAGGTACAAATAAAAAGTTAATGAAAAAAATACTTTGGACAGGCACCGCCATTTTGTAGTTTTCTTTCAATAAGCCTACACTCTAAGGCCAGTCAAAACAACTACAATACCCAGAAGCCAACAGTGCTTCCTGCTGCCGTTTTCTGCCAAAATGGAGGGAAAGTTTTGATCCGATCCGAACCTGACTAAAAAGTTTGGTCCTTATTCATAGTGACTTTGGTGCTCAGTGGATGCAGAGAGCTGTACGGAACCAACTGGGAATTGGACCAGCACTACGTCCAGCCTCATCTGTCAATCTGTGTGCCGCTTGTCGGCCCAGGAAGCCTCTCGAGCGGAGAGGCGTTGCCTGGCGGTCCGATGTCTTCTCTGAAGCTCACTGGGACTTTTTTCATCTGGATTCCTCTGGATTATTTGGACTCGATCGGGACCATTGTGTAATTTTGTGCTGGTTCTCCGAAGGTCCGCCTCTTTCCAAAAGCGTCTGGTGCTCAATGGCTGCAGAGAGCCAATCAGAACTGGACCAGAATCGGACCCAGGCTGGTGAGTACCCATAAAATGTTAAAGTAGCTACTGTACAGTACATATACATATATGGTTACAATTACATAGGTTTAAGAGTTTAGAACATTGTAAGAGTGTGGAGTTTCTAAATCCTTGAAATATATTTACTGGTAAATACTAAATAAATACAGCTTTCCTACTTCATGGTTTTTCACCTATCGCGAGGGGTATGTGGAACGTAACCCCTGCGATAATCGAGGATACTACTGTTCAACTGCTGTACCACAGTTGTATTTGTAAGACCAGTATATACTGAGAAATACTAGCTGGAATCAAAGGAAAAAGAAAAGCACATTAACTTTGTCAAAGCTCAGCAGATTTTTCTTTACAGATAACCACATGGACATTGCCCTTTCATGCATCGAACATGTCCCACCTTAAAGCGAATGAACCTTTTCTTCCACGAATGGAGACCAGAGAGGTAGACCTGCCGTAGGGCTTCATGGCACAAATGTAGGTCGATGCCATCAGGGGTGACAGTGAACTGGAAGGCCACCGCCTGGTGCGCTTCTGCCATGGTGGCTACGTATGCACAGTTCCTGTAAGAAAGAAAAATACAATAAATCTACTGACACCTTTACATTGATTCTATTGATTATAACACAAATTGTAAGAGCTGTCCTGTTTTTACTGCTAAGAGCAGCCAATGTCTACAATGTTTTTAAGGGTTATTATTATACCAGTAATTACTATGTTACCTAAACTGGTTCCTGGCTATGTCTGTCTGTTACTAATCACAGGTTAGGCAGATTTGTAATTATTTTACAACTAGAGAAAATGTAACACAAACTACACTTGAGCCGTTTTATTTAAGCGAACCAATACCCTTTGCAACTATTTTTAGGCAGTATGTTTGTCTTTAGGTGGTAAACTAAAGTAAAAGGAGACAAAGTGAGAAAGTTTGACTCTCCTGCTGCCCTCGGCTCTAAAAGACCACTGAGGACCATTTTTGAAGCAGCAGGAGCTTTAAGACAGTGTTCATTGCGGTAAATGAATCTTTGCCATGTGTACTAAACTACTGATTTTGTTTTTATTGGCGTTTTCTTTTACACGTTTCTACAAGGGCAGGAGCAGAAGTGGACACATACTGCCGTTTTAATAATGCAAATTTAAATTACTTTTTTTGCCCGTTTACAAATACTGTATTAGCAAAGATGCACGCTCTGACTTCCAAAAAACATTTTTAGAAATTTGAAAAAAACTACTGATATTTTGTTAGTATTTGCTTCAATAATGATTGTTGAGGTCTGAAACGCATTCATATAAAGGAATGTACATCACTCTTAAAGTCTTTTGTAACAAAGTTTAGACTAATTTTAATTTTTTATGTAAAAAAAGAAAAAAAAAAAAAGAAAAAAAAGAGTTAAAACTGTTTTGGTCAAATCTCTAAAAAAAACCATTACGCACAACCACATGTGTAATTTTACACTCATAAAGTATGTGCTATGAATGACTCAGCAAATTTAGCTGAATATCGGTCATTATTGTCATTTTTGTGTTGGTTAACACAGCATAGCGGTGGCAGCCATGTTGAATTGGATCAGCTCCAAAAGGTAAATCAGTTGTAGATGAACATGCAACGATTACTTTCTGAAAGTTTTATTAAATCTTGTCCAGTGGCACACGAGATATTTTGCTAACAGACAGATTGTTAGTGTTAATAGCATGTGTTGGGGATCAGTCTCAGCTACTACCATGGCAGATTTTAGTTAAACATATTTTAATTTAATTTAACTGAGTAAGGGGAGTGGTGGCGCAGAGGTTAGAGAAGGTGGGCCTGCGATTGGAAGGACACCGGTTCAACTCTCCATGCAGACAACATCAAAATGTGGGTAGGACAGATGAAGCATCCCCCCCCCCCCCCAGATGGCAGCTCTCTGCTCCACACAGAGAGCTCTGGTAGCTTGGTGGTTTGTGGTTGCTTCAGGAAGGGTATCCGGCGTAAAAATAATCAAGGTGTCATTATTGTCATTCACACCACATGAGGTGGAACGAAACTACACAGGGTCCCGGTTACATCCAACAATAATACAAATTGTAAAGTAATAAGATCTAAGATATGAACTAAGAAATACGCTAAACCAGGAACGTCCATCCATCCATCCATTTTCTTTACCCGCTTCTTCCATTTTGGGTCACGGGGGTCGCTGGTGCCCATGTCCAGCAATCACTGTGCGAGGGGCGGGGTACACCCTGGACGGGTCGCAAGTCCATCACAGGGACACAGAGACAAATGAGACAAACAACCATTCACTCTCTCACTCACACCTAGGGACAATTTAGAGTTACCAATCAGCCTAACATGCATGTTTTTGGACTGTGGGAGGAAACCGGAGTACCCGGAGAAAACCCACGCATGCACGGAGAGAACATGTAAACTCCACCCAGAAAGGCCCCTGGACCGGGGTTTGAACCAGGGACCTGCTCACTGAGAGGCAGCAGCTCTACCAGTTGCGCCACCGTGTTGCCAAACCAGGAACGTATTAAGCACTAATAGTATAAAAACAATGCGCCAAAACAACAGCCGCACGAACACGAGTCTGTGTGAGCAGATGAGGATGAATGAAATAATTGCAAAGTCTTTGTGCGACAGGTCATTTTTACACCTGATGGTCCGGTAGACTCGGTTCGGGACCAATATTCATGACCTTTTGTTTACATTTGAGCTGGTGCGTTTGCATTCACACTGCACTGTGCAGTCGAGTCAACCTGTTGAAACAACCTATTCCCCCGCTCGCCTGTGGGGGCGCTGCAACAAGAACTACTGAAAGAAACGACACAACAACCTCTTTCTTCTTCTGTAAATAAAAACAAAAACAAAGTGGCATCAAGTTTTAGCAGTTTTAGGAGTTATATTTTGTTATTTTTCAAAAATGGACTTAGCATGAGCAGAAGATGAGACAGAAGACCATGGAGAATATTGTTTTCCACACAAGGCAGCTGACGGCTCTATATAAGGTCAGAGAAATGCGTGTTTGTTTACCCTGCGGAGCGGTCCGGTCTGTTTACATTCACAATGTACTCAAACCGCGCTGGAGTTTGCTTCTACCGGACCAAGACCTAGGTTTTAGCCCGGATCAGAGTTCGCCTTTTTGTTCCGTGACAGATTTCAATGGTGCGTTCACACCTCCCTAAACGAACCGGACTTTCTAGGAAAACGAGCTAGAGTTCCATTAAAGCGGACTAAACAGGGCTGGTGTGGATGCACCCTTAAGTTCGCTGTAGGGAGCAGCCGAAAGAAGAAAAAAAGCCTATTTAGTGCTTTTTTAAAGGTCAGTTGGCTGTGGCAGACATCTTGAATTGATTAACACAAAATGATGGTGAAGATTCTCAGTCATCCAGGACATGATGAATTCAAAAAGCGTTCAATACAGAAACAACTGGACTTTATTTGTAACAGAAGACGGATTAACACAAAATGTTCATCAGCTGTAGATAGACACCCAATGATAATTTTATGCAAGTTTCATTCAAATCCGTCCAGTGGTTCACGAGATACTTTGATAACGGACACAAACCGGCATGCCCTCGTCAGGAGAGATTTAATTCACCGTTATCACTGTTGCCTCACAGCAAGAAGGACCTGGATTCAATCCCTGGTTGGACCTGGGCTCCGTCTGTGTGGAGTTTGCATGTTCCTTCTCGTGCTTGCGTGGGTTTTCTCTGGGTACTCCGGTTTCCTCCCACAGAATTAAAACACGCATGTTAGATTGCCTTCAGGCCCAGGCCTCCTTTGCAAAAGAAATCTGTGATCTCAATGGGATTTGCCTGGTTAAATAAAGGTTAATAATAAAAACATTCCAGGTTGGTCTGCAGATCTCCAGGTGGATGTTTGCAGCAGCAGGGTGAGCAGGCAGGCCTGGAAGGAGCAGCATCCCTGCACAGAGCAGTCAGTCCCCTCCCCCAGCTCCTCACAGCATCACATGATCCGCCCTGCGCTGCACAAAGTAGGGGAAAGGTCGCGCCGCCTGGAAACACCGCAAACCGACGCCACCGCACGCGCATCTCGTCGCCTGACAGCGCCAGCTCTCAACTACAGCAATCCGCGAGGCAACTTTGGCTTTCCGTTTCATTTCACAGCCGATTGATCCCTCCTGTGCGCCAAGGCACGAGCAACATTTCCCCCACTGACCCAAATTCTATAGATTTAATCAACGCCCGCCAATTCACATGATTTCGTCCTTTAAACGTGTCACACCTACTTCCCACGTGTTCAGCGCGAAATGAGGTCACGGGTATCTATTTTTATTTTTATTAGTAGTAGTTAAACCAAGATGTTCTTTATGTGAACAGAGAGTTTGGTTGAAAACCTGAAAGTTCAGACAGAAGAAAGTGAAAAGGACACGGTGAGCTTTCTGACCTTCACAGGCAGGTGAGATTTCAACACAAGCCCGTCCCCTCCACGGTGACATTTTATCACCATTATACATTAAAATAAGGAGCCACACAGCTACTGGAACATAGTTACCACTTAATAACAGAGTTATGGTGTTTGTGGCACAGGGAGCTGCCAAGTTGCAGCCAATAAATGACCTTTACTTGGACTTACTCTAAGCATAATATTTACATCCCGTCTGTTACTTCAATTGTAGTCCAATACAAAACAATATCAGTCACTTCCACAAAATAATGACGTATTTCTAAAACACCAGCTGTCACAATGTGTGCAATCAATGGACACATGTTTCTTTTGGTGTTAAGGCGTCATGGAAAAGCAACAGCGCGGGGCTGGTGGAGGTAGCTGAGGACATATTCCTTTTCACTTGTCCTTTTTTTTTTTTTTTTTCTTTCCCTCTCCCCCCCCTCAGTCAAAGCCCTGAACTGAAGCTAGGTCTGGACACCAAAAACAGTCAAAGGCAGGAGAAACACACGCTTGGAAAAATGGAGCAGCGCGGTTAGACATTAATAATAATTTTAAAAATAACTCACCGACGCTTGTTTTTTCTGTCCTGGCTGCGGCTCTCGGTGTTTTTAAGAGATGCGGCTCGTCTGTGTGAGTGTCTGCGAAGGCTGCTAATGTTCAATGCATGAATGGGAGCACAGACTTGTAGACAAGGCCTTCCCCTATTGGCTGCGTCACACATTTCTCCTTTTGGTGTCCTCAACAACTGTTCATAGTTGTAACAGCGCCCCCTGCTGGAGGAAATTTGAATGATTTCACAATGTTTTGTTGAAACTGCGCCCCCTGGTGGAAGAAAAGTAGAATTTCACTATATGTTCTAGTTGAAATGGCGCCCCCTGGTGGAAAAAGTTACAAGATAATTTAGATGATTTTTGTAAACCTGCTACTTTACTTTTTCTTGAAAGTAATCCAATCTGTGTTATGTAACAAATGATCTTTTCCAATCTAAATGTATGTAGAGTTTAGAACACACATACCTAATGATTGAAGAAAAAACGATTTTAAAGAAGACACATTTGCATTCATATGCCCCACTCTCCATCAACATTTTATTCCATTTCATTTATTTATATACATAAAAAGACCCGTTTACTTCTGCATTACACAGGAATATAAATGTGCTAGAATTAGCCCGATAGCTAATTTATACTCATAGTTTTCTATATAATGTTGTCCTGATGCTGGTAATAAAAATAGAAACATAGTTCATTCATTCATTCATTCAACCTTTATTTAGACATACCATTGAGCCTCAAGGACTCATTTACAAGAGAGACCTGATTTCTTAACAAAGAATGTTGACAACAATGGACAACAGCGACAACAATAGACAAAGAGGCGTACAGATTTTTTTTTAAAGTGCATAAATAAAATGCAACTGGCAAAACAAGAAAACTACCATTTTGACATTAAAATAAGGAGAAAGCTGAGAAAAAGATAACTGATAACTGATGCTGATCTTTGCATATGAAAAAAAAGATTACTGAAAAAGTCCAAAATATTTTTCTTAATTTCATCCATCCATCCATCCATTATCTTTATCCGCACTTGTTCCTTTTTGGGTCGCGGGGGTCACTGGGGTCCATGTCCAGCAGTCACTGTTTGAGAGACAGGTCTCCATCACAGGGACACAGGCAAACGAGACAAAAATCATTCACTCTCTCACTCACACTTAGTGACAATTTAGAGTTACCAATCAGTCTAACATGCATGTTTTTGGACTGTGGGAGGAAACCCAGAGTACCCGGAAAAAACCCACGCATGCACATGCAAACTCCACCCAGAAAGGCCCCCAGCTGGGATTTGAACCGGGGAAACCTGCTCATTGAGAGACAGCAGCTCTACCAACTTGCACAGTTCTGCCCTTTCTTAGTTTCAGTGAATATGTCATGAGAGGTCTATTCATGCCCAGTTTAAAGCAAAAAGAGAAGAGTCAGTTTGTCTTAGGTCTAAAACATTTTAAATATCATCTTGGGGGTCAGAAAAAAATGCCAACGAAGGCCATATTTGGTCCGTGGGCCTCAATTTGACGCACCTATACTCTCTTAAAAATTGTATTTCTACTATGCATAATGTGCTGTTATTTAAAATACAACGACAGCACATGAGCAAGTTTTTGAATTTGTTTGCTTGTAAATACTTTGACAGTTATTTACTGTTATGACTTATCCAACAAGGTTAAGTCAGGTCCTTTGGACGGTTTCTCTTTTTTTGTTGAAACGTTTCTTCTTTCATCCAAAGGACTTCATCAGTCCGAGGAGCTACAGCAAACTCAGTCTAACTCTTAACAGCAACTTCACATATAGTGGCTCAACCAGTTTGATGGTGATAAGATGCTTTCTGGAAACCATCCAGACCAGAAACAGTGGGGGAGAGGTGGAGTAGAGGCAGGGCAGCCGACCTGGGACCAGAAAGTCGTGGCTCGACTGCCCAGCCGCCATTCCCCAGTTGCCCTCCAGGCGCCCACATAGCTGCCCACCCAGGTGTACCTCAGCCTCAGGTGTGATGGGTTAAATGCAGAGAACTCATTTCACCATTATACAATAATGACAATCTCTTCCCCTTCTAACTGGTTGGCCCACTATGTGAGTGTGCTGCTTGTGGGACTGAGTTTGTTGTGGCTCCTCGAACTGATGAAATCCTTTGGATGAAGGACAAAACGTCTCAAAAAAAAAAAAAAAAAGAAACCGTCCTGATTTACCGGTAACTTTGATGTAATGACTAATCCAAAAAAGTTCAATCTGGTCCTCTGGACATTCAAAAAACAAGAAAACAAAAAACAAACAAAAAAAAAAAACAAACAAAACAAAGCAAAAAAAAAATAATCTAGAAACGTTTCGTCTCTCATCCGAGAGACTTCCTCAGCCTGAGGAGCTGTATTGAGCTCAGTCTCTTAAATAGCACCTTCTCAGAGTGGATCAACCAGTTTGCTGCTGACAACCAAAACCAGCTGCTCACATGGTCAAGGAGGACCATCAGCCTAACGATGGATCATTAGCACACTGACGGCTGTTTGCTATTCACCGAGGTTGAGTGATACTAGCAATAATGGCATTGTAAGAGGGGGACAGTTGGACACGGAGGCTAAACAGAGCTGAGCTGTGGAGGCAGTTACAACTTGGAAAGACTGAACCATGTGAGCAGCTGGTTTTGGTTGTCAACAGCAAAACTGGTTGATCCACTCAGGTGGAAGGTGCTATTTAAGAGACTGAGCTGAATACAGCACCTCAGACTGAGGAAGTCTCTCGGATGAGAGACGAAACGTTTCTACATTTTTTTTTTCTTTTTTTCCTTGTTTTTTGAATGTCCAGAGGACCAGATTGAACTTTTTTGGATTTTTCTACCTGGATTATTGAGCATGTATCAGGATGTAATGACTAATGTTTATCCAGCAGGGGGCGCAATGTGGCTTCTCTCATTTAAAAAAAAAATCACAAAATCATGTTTCTCTTGAAAAGTAAATAAATTAAACCAGTTATTTGGCCTTTGAACGCAATTTAACGTTATACTAAGGAGTACGTAGATAGCTGGGTGTGACAATTTGTTTTTAAGGGCTCTTCCTGCAAAACAAACTAAAGTCTCGTCCCTCCCGTCGCTCTGCTCAGACCTCGGGGAGAGCCCCGCCTCTCGCGCGCTGCTCGCCTCGTGCGGCTGTTGTCGCTGCTCCGTCAAACAGCAGCATGTATGCTAGCAGGCGGCGAGCCCCTATGACCTGCAACGATTTACGCAGAGTGAGTGTGACAGCTTCCGTTGAACAATAAGCAGGGGGAGAATGAGAAGAAGAGGCTTCGGTTTTTACTCGTAGGTTCAAAGAAGAAGAAAATAAAGGTGAGCGGTGACGACGCACGGTTTGTAGTTCGCTGCTAGCGCCTGTAGTGATGAGCGGTCCATGTATGTGATATGTGGTGTGGTTGGTCATAAAATGCGTTTCTTATCGCGTCTTTCTATTTAATTTGATTTACATTTTTGGACGCCGAATTGACCATCAAAGGAAGCCGCTTAGGCTCCATGTAACGGCTGGTCGCGCGCGCACACGTCAGGATAACTTGAGACTTTTAAAAACACGATTTTTAGCCTTTATGTTTATTTCAAGACTATATGATGGACAAGCTATTCATGAAGTGGACGTGCTTAAACGATTTAAAAAAAAAATCCTAAACATGTTTAAATTACATTTCTGACTGATTTTGTTTAGGTTTATTAACAGATATGTTCCTCATCAGTTTTTGTGCTGTCTATCCTTTTACTTTCTAAGACCATCACTTAATGCCTTTTTGAAGAGATTAATAAAGTTTTTTTTTCGGGGGGGATAATTTTTTGGCTTTTCAGCCACACAAAAGTTAGTGACTTTTTAAGTACCTAAATTCAGAACTCTGAAGTGATCTGAGAATTGTTTTTAGTTTTGTTTAGGTATTGTTTTAAATCATACCAAGACAGTTATTTCAACAGGCCACTAATTAGTTATGTGGAAACTAATTCTTTATTATTTCATTTTATTTATGAATATCCATCAATCCATTATTTTTTACCTGCTTCTTCCATTTCGAGTCATGGGGGGTCACTGGTGTCCATGTCCAGCTATCACTGAAAGAGGCGGAGGACACCCTGGACAGGTCTCCAGTCCATCACAGGGACACATAGAGACAAACAACCATTCACTCTCTCACTCACACCTAGGGACAATTTAGAGTTACCAATCAGCCTAACATGCATGTTTTTAGTCTGCGGGAGGAAACTGGAGTACCCGGAGAAAACCCACAAATGCACGGAGAGAACATGCAAACTCCACCCAGAATGATCCCTAGCCAGGATTTGAGCCGGCAACCATCTCGCTGAGTGGCAACAGCTTTGCCAACTGAGTCAATGTGATGCCCTATTTATAACTATATTTTAGAAAACCAGGCAGTTTTGATTAAGCCAAAGCTAAAACAGATTTGCTTATTCTACCCATGGCAGTCCAGTTGGCTAACCAAATCCATCCAAAACAAACCTTTTGTTTTAAAAATTACATTTTCAACTAAGCTTTGTAAGTTCAACCAATGATCATCACATTGAAAATGGCCACGCGGACATAGTGATACAAGAGATTTTAAATTAAAATGTTTTTTTCACCCAGTTTAGAATGTCAAGGTAGCTCTATCACTTGTCTCTTTAAACTGATGTGTTTTGTTAGATTTTACAGTCTGTAAAATATTACAGTTCATTAATAAAGTGCATAGCCTGCCTACATGATCACTCAGGACATACTTGTCCTTTTGTTGTTGTCCGTCCATCCATTGTTTTTACCAGCTTAGTCCTTTTCTAGTCATTGGGGTCATTGGTGCCCATATCCAGCAGTCACTGTGCGAGAGGTGGGGTACACCCTGGACAGGTCTCCAGTCCATCACAGGGCCACATAGAGACAAACAACCATTCGCTCTCTCACTCAAACCTAGGGACAATTTAAGAGTTGCCAATCAGCCTAACATGCATGTTTTTAGTATGTGGGAGGAAACTGGAGTACCCGGAGAAAACCCATGCATGCACATGCAAACTCCACCCAGAATGGCCCCCCGGCCGGGATTCGCACCAACGACCTTCTCGCTGAGAGGCGGCAGCTCTATCAATTTTGCCAGTGTGCCACCCTTTTGTCTTTTTATTAAATCAAGAAAACCCATCTCTGTTGCCAGTTCTCCATCTGTTTCAGTTTTGATCATTTTAAGTTCTTGTTTTTGTTTATTCACAGCTGATCTGATAAAAAATGGGGAAACTCTAACTTTAAATCAATATATAGATGTGATATCTAAAGCCAAAATGGGGAAAGTGGGCTTATACAGCCCAATACCCAGAGAGCTTTCAGAAGTAGGCCAGTTGTATGTGTGTGTGTGTGTGTGTGTGTGTGTGTGTGTGTGTGTGTGTGTG